ACCTTCATTACATAAATGAAACTAGAGGCCCTTCGCTCCTGGTAGCCGACATAAATGCTCCCGCAGCAAAACTTCCATTCCGTAACGAAAGCAACGAAACAGGGCGCGACTTCATAGTTTCCAGCGATTTCAATATATTGAATGATTGCTATCCTACCCAACACTGCTTTTCTCAAGACAACTCGTACTGAATCGATCTCGCTTTCAAGAACTCACTACATACCTTCTCCATATGAAAAGACGTAGGGAGTGACCACTTGCCAATCATTGTGACGTGTAGCTTTTCCCACCAACTCCTTCTCCCCCCCCCCTCCCCCTCCAACCCCAGCTTTGATATTCTCGTACGTCGACTGGAGCGCTTTCTAAGATACGGCAGAAACATTTCTCCCAGACTCCCTCCCTCGAAACCATCCCCATACTAGACGAGGCAGTCACTGTCATCACTGAAGCAATTCACTTCGAGCAGGAACTCATCACTCCTAAGATTACACCCTCCAAGAAACCCTACTCCTCAAGTGAAGAAACTCAAAAATGAAAGAACAAAGGAAACTTCCCCGCTCCCATTACCGATCTAAAGGTACAACCTTGAAATCTATAATTAACAAACTTTGCCATAAAATGTAATCCCTTGTTAAGATCGAGAAAGATCTCTACTGGAATAACTTCTTTGAACAGCTCAACAATGAAGAAGACCCTTCACGTTTTTAGAAGCTCTTGTAGAAGAGTATGGAATTTCCGCAGCAACCAAAATAAGCCGCTTAAATACTTGGGTGGAACTTACTGCAGTGATGACAGGAAAGCCTCAGTTTTCACATTGAGCCTGCAGGTATCTATGGCAAAACTGCTCACATCTCTAGGACGAAACCCTCAATTGAAAGCCTCGACCCCCAAAATATGATACTGAATTTCTCTGTCTCTCTAACCGATATGACGATATGACGCCTTTCTTCTCATATAGAGCATCTCTTCCCTGCTAAGAAAACTCTTCTAAGGCGAAATTGCACTGGAAGAGATCGAGGCCGCGATTAAAGCTTCCCCAAATGAAGCACCCAGCCCTGACAACATCTTCGTAAGCATCATTAATCGCGCAACGCCTTGGAAGGAGTCCCAACCCATCCTCTCCCAAACGCGCCACCCTTAACTCTCATCGTCTTTTCCTGTAGTGCTTTTTCATGCAGGAAAGATAGCGATGAATAAAGCCAACTTGAACACCCAATCCACTACTCTCTTCCTTTTCCTGCTCTTCCCATTCACTGCCCTCATCTCCTGCTATTCTGCACAAAAGGAAAGAGAAGTCTCAAAAGGAAGTATTGGTTTCATTTTTGTAATTAAATGGTGCGAGTCATTATACATATTTTATTAATTTGTCTAGCATATCAACCCAGTTATGTGCATTTAACTCAATAAACTTCTCCCATAAGCTTGTCTTTAATGTGCGATTGCATATTTATACTATATAGGCTTTCCTTTTAGAAAACGTGTGATAGTGATTTATATCATACTGTTTCATTAGAGCTTGAAAGTGTTGCTTAAACAATTATTTATCGTTATCAGTCTATACATTTTTACATATTTTCTTTTTTCTAAAAAGGTCTTCAAATGCAGTAGATACTGTTTAAGCACTTTTATTCTTTAAGGGTATACCATAAAAAATGTTTGAAAATGTATCAATTACTGCAAGTAGGTATTTAAAACCTAGATTTGATTTAGATAGCTCTTGCAAATGAACTTAATCAAATTGCCATAGACCATTAGCACCAAAAGTTCTTCCTTTCATAGCTGGAAATTTCTTTGAAGAAAATGCAGCGGGCAAGTTCGAGTATCTTCGAGGAGTGAATCGTGTCAAGTTAACATACTTTAAGACTTATGTGCATCATCATGCTGTTGCAGTAACTTTTAGAAGCAATGTTGCTCTAGTTCTGGGATCTGAGGCTGAGAAAGAATACACATACCAGAAGAAACACTTGGCAGAAAACGCACCAGATTTTCAACCCGGTAAATCCCGCATTGAATTCACGTGCAACATTTCTGCACTCATTTATGCAAATGAAGAAATCAGCCCTTCATGCCGTCTTCTTTCCCCCTCGGAATTCGGAAAAAAGATCCACTTCAATACGGTATGTTATTGACCTTTTGCCATAAAATATATTTAAAAACATACGCATTCAGATTGTGGATCAGGGCGAGTGGATCATACAGTACTTTACCAACCTAATTATTTTCCTCGTATCGCGCTGCACTTGCGTTTGCCCTTCTAATATGGATAAATAAAAAAATATTCCCGTTTGTTCACATTTCCCCGGAAATAAATGAAGCGTTGTAATTCGGATTGACACTCACATCCTATGAATTCATAGGAATGTTGACACTAGACCCCTAAGCTCGGGACTCTCACTTGGGAATGAATAACATTCCTTTCGTTCCCCTTACTGATGAGTTTCCGTAGCTTCGGTCCGAAACGCTTGCGTCGTCCTCTCCTTCCCAATAATACGTCGGTAAATACGGTCCCATGGTTCATGTCTTTTCTATCTCCTTCGAGGTCTCATGCGTTACCTCTTCTGTCGTTGCCGTCGCCTCAACCGACAACTGAAAACCCGCAGCAAGGGTTTCATGCAGTCGGTTCTGTGATGTTCGGGCATCGACGTGGGTGAAGACGAACGCCCTCCGCGTCACGAATTGATGAAGACGTAGAGGGTGTCAAGAATCCCATGCGCTCCAGTTGGAGAATGACAATCGTAGATGCATCGCAGGTCGTCAAACGGTGAACCACTTGGTGGTGCTGAATCGCCTTCAGGACGCTGTCTCTCGGAAAATGCGAGAAAAGTTTAAAGCGGAAACGTGAATCCCGCCAAGCATCCCATTCCACACCTCTGTGCGAAATCATGCAATTTCTGGCCGACGAGAACATGAAATCTTTTGAAATTAATAGACGATTGTCTGCACAGAGGGGTGATGATTGCCTGTAAGAAGAAACTCTTCCGTCAGTCGAAATGAGATTCTCAATTTGCTTTATGATCGCGTTGTTGAACGAATTGGCTGGTTTTGCAGCGTCCCAGTCAAAAATATTTCGTCGAGCCATCAATGACTTTTCGCCGACGCGCACATAAGCCGTAGTTGGGCCATCATTGCTATATGGTTGGCTCACGGTTGGTTTAAGCCGGCTTAAACGGGCATGTCCTGTTGGCCCTTCATCGGGCCAACTTTGGCTCAATATTGGGAAACCGCACATCCCCCAACCATCGACCAAATTTTCACAATGGTGAAAAGGTATAAGAAAAAAACCGACAAAAAATAGCAACTGCAGCTTCATGAATCTTGGAATGATGAGATTGCATCTTTTGATCTCTTAATGCTCCTTCATGTGGTAGAGATGAAGGAGCAGGGGCTTATCTGAGTACCTTACACAGGTACACTTCTGCCAAGAACATCTCATGCAACACTCCATCTGGATGCTGAGGCATCCAGGAGCGGAATCACATGGGAATGCAAGGGTGTCTCTCCTCCCACAAGTTAGACACACCTTACACGTAATTGAACACGGAAGATAATACTGTACCTGTATACGAAGATAATCCAATCGCGTGGCCGATTGTGGAAAGGAGAAGGATCCTCCCACGGACCCCCAGGCCGGAAGTTGCTGGTTTATTCCATAGCAAGGTTACATCCTCAGAAAAATGTTAAAAGGAATTCGATTGTCTTCCTCTAAGATCTATGTGAGAAACCATAGCGAACCGTGCCAAAGGGACAGGGGACTCATCTCAGAAGTATCCGGGAAGTGACTCCCCCTTACGACCGCTTTGGCTCCATCTCACGCCGGTTTTCGGAACCCTCTCAGCCACATTGGCCTATCTTCGGCGAATGATTGACCGGCCAACTCAAAAGTGACTCACAAGTATGAGTTGGCTTGCCAATCACTCGCCGAAAATGGGCAGACTCTCCGAGCAATGACCCGAATAAAACCCAACGAAAGTTTTTAACTAGGGCGTTCTTAATTCTGCACGCTTTCACAACCATATTTGAAAATGATTTGCACTAGTCAAATACGGATGTCCTTCACAGGCAGTCATCACCATACTGTGCAGGCAATTGTCTATCAATTACAAAAGGTTGGATGTATTCGTTGGCCAGAACTTTCATAATGATTCGCTGTTCCACCTTCCCTGTTAGCTCAACTGCCGCCATATTAATTTTCAGCACATGTATTAAAGCAGGGAACACGCGATTGCCGGTATGGGTTAACAACACTATTAATAAACATTCTTTCAAAAAATTGTCAATCTACATACGTTACTCTGCCTTGTATAAACAAAAGTCATGGTTAACTGTGAACGACCCTCGCACATTATATTCGTATGACCCAAGCTGATTCTGTATCATTTTCAATTTGACGTCTTACTAAAGGACAGGTATGACTTTGTACGCTTATGTGCAACAGACCTGTTCCTTTCTCTACATAGACTAACAGTTGACTTGAAAAGCCGATAGCCGACGTTATTTCCGTCTTCCTTTCGCAATTGAAAGTGATTAGCGACCACATACATTTTAAAAAAAATATTGTTTAGTGTTACATGGGGACATTTTCTGTTTATGTACTTCACGTCAATGCAAATAACCTTTCCGAGAAATGGCATAATGAGTAATATCTCGCGAATTTTTTCATGACCATGCGGGACCGTCGGAAATTGTCCGTAAGAAACAAACCTGATAAAGATTAAATCTGGGATTCAATGCTTCCAGCTGGCCGGAAGAAGTTGTGAAGTCATTTCTGGAAGTGCTCCTACAGGTGTAACCTGGACATTTCAGCAGAAACATTATTAAAAATTCCAATAGTTAGTTTTGTGCATGATTCAGAAATTGCCTCATAGTTTTTTCTATTTTTTTTTTTTAAATAGGCCTCTGGACCTTCGTGCGAGAATTGCCAAGATTTTTCCAGCCTAGGGAAATTGGAAAACTATGAAAGAATAGGAAGTATGGATATTAGGTTGTGCCTCAAAATTTACATGGGAGCTGATGATAAAAGACCCCTGATTGACGCAGCAGGAGAATATGTGAAACATCACTATCCAGAGGCCTATGAAAAGGCGCATTCCTTACCTGAGGAATTCATATTGGAAAAGAAGGAATTCATGAAGCTGCACAAAACGGCAAGAATCGGCGAACAAGATGTGAATATGCCCGCAGCTCAGCTCTCGGTTGCAATGGTGTTTGATAAAGTCAAAGAAACGTTCAAGGGCGTGCCATCCCTCACATTGTGCGATTACGCATTTACAGACACTTTGCTCAAGGGGATCAAGCAGCAACAGAAAGAAAAGTTCATCAATAATTTCGGAGTGAAAATGGATGACCTAGCATCTGGGGATCATGACGTCTTTGGAGTTGGAGTATCTGGGGACCAAATCCTTGGAGTTTTCTTTCAAGTTAAAGGAACGCAGTCGGATAAAAACGCGAAAACAATCTTAAAAAATCTGAAGATAGGACTGCAACAAATCCAGAAAGATGTGAACATTTTCAGGACCATGTGCGGTGAATTTCTCAATTTGAAAGTAAAACTGGCCGGTTTTGCAGCCTTTCCAATGCTTTCTAAATCAGATTTGCGAAAAGCGGTCGATTGTGATGATTGCAGGAAGCGAACCCTCACTTCGGATGATCTTGATACTTTAAAGAGTTTCGAAGCATTTCTGAAGACACAAGATATTGTGCTTGAGAAATTCTCGAACTGGGGCACCAACACCTCATTAAGAATGACCTTCAAGGAAATCTTTGACTTCTATGTTTCTGCTGCATCGTTTGTGGACCTCCCACGAAACCCCACTCAGTATTTCCAAAAGTCTGAGGAGCAAATACGGAAGATGTTGCTGATTCTTACTCCTACTCAGAAAGCACTAGTGAAGAGTGAAGAAAATATAATCCTCATATGTGGTGCTTCAGGGACTGGAAAAACATTTGTCCTGAAGAAAAGAGCCGAAAGGTTGGCGGGGGAAGTTGAAGTATTGGTTATAAACATCGCCGGAGGACTCTTGACTGAAGAATTCCGAAGTGGCCTGAAAGGTGAGTCGAAAATTAGCTTCAGCAGGCGGATTTCACAAGGCTCAATGTTAAGGAAGTGATACGCCACTTGAATGTGCTCCAGAAACTAATAGGTTATCATTGCTGTGTGACCCGACTTTGCAAAGTATTTATTACAATTAATCTCAAGATGCAGAATGGGGTCATTGATTGGTCATTTGTTTGAGCTGATAGATCGGATGATGATAGGATCGAAGGTGTTGGTACATTTTCATTGAATGAATATGGGGTGGCTTCCTTGTTTTGCATTTTTTTTACGGTGCGTTTTTTAGTCACACCTCTTGGACTGGCTGATGAAAATCTATTTCTGTCTAACGCGTCCTCTGAATCGTCTGTAAATGGAAACAGCCTAATATAATAGGAAAACGGATATTCTCGCTACTACAACGACCTCTCATGAAAATTATGAAAGCGATTGTACAAAAAAGTGTTCCACGAATTTTTATGGGGAAAGGAGTGCTAAGATATTTCACACACGGTCCACATCATGCAACTTCATCGTCAAGAGTTAAGGATGCACAGTCAGTGATCTTCCACAGGCAATAAATGTCCCACCTGCTCTTGTAAAACTCCATAAGCCAACCCAACTTTAACCTCTCGACGGCAAAAAAAAGGACTAGGAAATGAGTGTTCTCTACCAATGACCAATTTTAGAGAGTTAATGGTAGGGTAAAAAGTTCTAAAGTTGGGAAATGTCGCATCTATCATATTCTGAATTTCATAAAACGTGTAATTCCTGATAACATTAGATTAGTAGCAGCAAATTATTACAGAGGCTCCGAATTTTGCGCAATATTTTTGCAGCATGGAAGTTTCGCGACCCAGCACGCCTACTTTCGTCATTATGGAATTGTAAACCTACCATCGCACTTCAGAACCACTCAGCATGTCGCTACTCTTGCTGTTGTTATATTCAACCGAATATTCAGCTGAATATAGCAACAGCAGAGCTAGCGAGAATTCTTGGCGAATGTCCAGCTTCTTCTGAGTGACTCCTGATAGCTTTCTGTGGTATGACGGCTTTGGATAAAACTTCATGCAGCACATTTTAGTATCACCGTATCAGTTTCTCTCCAATAGTTCTATCATTGTCGGTGAGCATAGGGAAAGTGCGGCAAAGTTACACTGCTGATGAAAAGCTCAAAATGATCAAGGAAGAGAAAGAGTTTGGCATAATTTTAAAATTATATTTCCACTGTTTTAACTGACTGCAGAAACTGTTTTCGTATAAATAGCATATCAATGAGTTATAGGTACGTTGAAAGAATTTTTTTTCCCAAAAGTAACGTTTTTTCCCCCTAGTTTTTTATGAGCTGCATCGACTGCTGTAAAATATGTAAAACTAATTCTTCTTATTCACGAGCAAATATGGTATTCGCAGGAAAGAGGCATTATTTATCACTTTAAGGAAGTAAATAATCGCTACACTCCAGTTTCATACTCTTTGAGTAAAATCTCTCAATTTTTACATATACAGTATATCAGAGCGAATGTTTTTAGGACTGTGAAATAAATGAGAATGACGTCATATCTTCATCGTGCATTTACCCGTACTTCCGAACTGGGCGTGACATGAACATTCTCGAGGGGTCTTAGTTGAACAGCCTGATCGTACCTTGATGACGAGAGAGCCATCAGGGTTGAAATTATTATGTTGGGATCGAGGGTGAAAAAGATGTATTCCTGATATATATTATCTCACGCCTCTGGTTAATATGAAAGTCGGGAAGTCAACGTTAAAATTTCGACGAGTTTTTATGCCACCCGATAGTTAACACTTCACAGAGTCAATCGCATTAATGGAATCGTAACTTTACATGTGATGTGTGAACCGCATTTACGCGTCACGCGACTTCAATTATTTCCAGTAGGTTGCAGGAACCACGCATAAGCGTCGAACTTGTCCGATAGTTTCTGCCATCTCTTGGGAACATGCTGATATTAGCCCAAATCTAAGCGTCCAACGCTTCAAACGAGTACAAAATTGCGTTAACCTAAGTTTTCGCCGACCGACCACTTCTGCCATACTCGTCTGCTACACCCCGTTCAATGGCACTTGTAAATACATACTGAATGAATTCCGCGATGAACGATAGATGAGTGTCAATAACTAAGGTCTGGAGAGTGTGGGGAGGAAAATCGATTTTCGCGATCGCCATGCCTTTCTCCTATGGCCAGCCGACGAGAACTCTCCATGTTCGGGTCTGTTGACCGCTCAGAGCTGTGTGATGATCAGTGATAATTTTTTATATTAAGTTCACTAAATAAAAGGAAATAACAGAATATGATGTTGATTCCGTTCGGTTTTATTATTTTTGGACGGGAAAAGCAATTACAAAGATCATAGTGAATGTTGTGCAGAGCCTTAAATGCTCCCGAAGGCCTAAAGTTCGGGCTTACCTCTGTTTTTATGTTAGAACTTCCCTTTTGAAACTATATCCTGTATTTTACTCATGTCACAAAAAGCAGTATTAATTTAATCTTCATTTTTGGTAGTGGGCAGATTTTTTTCCCCATTGGTTTGAGACGCTAGAAACAGGACAGGGTGTTTCTGTGGTCGACATGCGATCCCTAAACCCGCCTGCATGGCAGGCAATAACTCCCTATATTAAAAGGAAACAGCAGGGTTGATGGATGAAACTTCAGCCATTCTTAAAAAGCTGTTCTGAGAAGAACAACGGCTCTGTCGTCTCTTGTAACACCAGAAAAAATGAGCTTTTTAAGGTTAGCATTTACCTCATTTAAGAAATCATGATATAAGACAATCCTGAATTTTTTCGACATAAAATATTGGTTTCCGTCGTCGTGATATTATCAATAATAACCCCAGTATGCGCAACAATATTGATGCAACACAGAAAGAGCATTAATAACAGTTACTTGCTCCATACTTCATACATTAATTGTGCATGAAATCAATGTGGAGCCTTCAATTACACGACCTTTTGACATTGTAAGAGAATCGGGTATACTTTTTTTTCCAGATTTGTTAGTTTCGTCCGTTTAGAAATAGGTCTCCATTAATGTCTCCACAGAAAACAAGAATATCGACGTGGTAGACGGGAAAACCGGGGGCCTGGAAGAAGACCTAGGAGCTTTAAAGAAGTATCTGGAGGAAAAAGGAAAAGGGAAACATATTTTCATCGATGAAGTTCCCATCACTCTAGGATTCCAAGGAACTATCACCTCGCAAAAGCTTTCCGAGCATTGGAAATGGATCGTGGACATGATTCCTCATGTGAAGTCGATCACTCTCTGCTTTCGGCCCAATGATCAGTCCTACAAGAGAGATTTCCCTCTTCAAGATATCAAATTCGGTGATTACCAGATGACAGTCTTAGAGGGAGTGAAAAGAAACAGCAGGAGAGTAGCAGAGTTGTTCCTTGCCATTGGGGATTATTCCCGCCGGATCTTCATATCCCGAGAGAAGACACTTCCACTAGAGATGAAGCAGTCTGGGAAGGGATTTATTCCAGTCCTCTTTCCCATTCCCTCTTGTTTCTCAATTCATCTGGGAGAATGCAAGAACGAGAAGATATGCGAAGCCGTGAGGGCCTCGCACGCTATTAACGTCATATACGAAGAATACTCCAAATCACAAGAGAAAACTCCACTTTTTGTCGTGGTGGATCATGAGAAGAGGAGGAATGCTCTCGTGAACGTCTTCACTTCCCTCTACCCATCACTCCCTCTCCTCTTCCCCAACTTCAACAGGGGCCACAAGTCGTGGGATTTCCGTAGGAATGGGGCCTCAGAAGGCACGTTCTTCATCATCGTCGTGACCGAGAGTGAAATTATTGGATGCCACTTTAAAAATGTGACTGTGGTGATCGATATTGCTCAGTCAGAATGGCGGAACTATATTCGATTGATAGCAACAACCGGGGAAAACAAGATCATTGTGGTCGAAGACGAGCAACTGAGGACAGGGAAGTTCTCTCGCATAATAGAGAACAAATATGTTTGGAAGAATAGCGAAACACAGGAAAGTCTCGACGAACATCTAAAGGTAAGGCTGAGTACCGCCTGGGAAAAATGGGATGTAGAGAAAATCGACAAATTGAAAAATAACGCCTTCCCCCTTGCATCTTTACCTGAAATAAGTATAGATTGGGATGGAAGAGAGGGAGAGGAGGAACGCGATGTGGATTTGATGCAAGAACATTGGCTAACTGGAATATTTGGTCCCCCTGCCTCGGGAAAATCCAGGAGAGTGAACATGTTCATGCAACGAGTAGCAGAGAGGGGAGCCCGAGCCATCCTCTTCCAACCCGAAAGAGTACTGTCCCTAATAGAACACCAAAGGCGCTGGGGGGAAAATGATAATGTGGACCTCAAAGGCTTCCATTTCCAAGTCAAGTCTTTCCAGGAACTCATTAAACTTCTGGAAGTGACACTGAAGGAGGAGAAAGAAATGAGAAAAAGAGAAAAGAAGAAAGGGGATAAGGGAGGTGTAGGAGGGGATTGGGATGTGGGTTCCCTGACCGCGATCGTTGAAGATTGTCCATTGTTCGAGGATCTCCAGGGGACCGCAGAAAAAGTGAAAGAGATGAATATTCGACTAATACTTGCCTTCAAACCTCATTCGGAAAAAGCCTCAGGGGACGCGGTAGAGAGAATCATAAAAATTCTTAATCACAACCCTGACAGCACTGCGATTGTACTTCGATCTCAGCCGACCAACGCCGATCTCCTGAAGCATATCCAAAAAAATGAAACTGGGAAAGCTTTGAAGTTGGAAACAAAAAATTTGTCTGTGTCATCCGTTTCCGCCGCTATCGTCATCGGGCCACCAGTACCATTCTTCATGTGTTCGAGCAGACATTTAGGATATATTTGTAATGGAAAAGGATCATGCAAAAAATCTTTTGCTGTTGCATCCTGCCTTTCTCATGCTGCTCTTCCGAAGCCAACAGATCATCAGCCCTATATCCTGGTATCAGATAGAGACCTGCTAACGTCCTTTGTAACCCTGATAAACCACCTTGATCACCCTGATATCCCTGATATCCAAGTGATCCACCCAGAAAACTTTCGGGGGTGTGAGGCTTCAGTCGTCACCACTGTCGACGTGGGTGACGACTGGTTACTGGAAGTGATCTCCCGCTCCAGGACTAAACTCACTATTATTGACAACATCTCCAGTCATGGAGACCTATGGAAGACCATGATTGAAGAACAGCGTGTGCAGGCTTGGGATGGTCGCTCTTCCAAGGACATTGAAACACACCCAGGAATCCTATTCAAACTAGATGAAAAGGAACATTTTCTAAAGGTAAGTTTCTTTCTCTTTCCATCTTCTATTCCTTTAACCGTTCCCTATTTCTTTTAAAGACTTCTATCATATTAGCTCAACCCTGCCATCATTCAATCTCGGAAAACCACTAAGAAATCAACAACATATATAATTCGTAGTATAATAGTAAATTCCACTGCAAGGATGGAAATATACAATAGAATGATTACCAGATGAAAATGTATGACATTATCGTGAAGAATTTGAGCACCCATGACTAGGTAGTTCAATTATCCATTATTGAAGTTCTGCAGAGAATGGCAATGCAGACCTATTCAAAAGTATCCCATTTATATATAATTGGAGGTGTGTGTACATTAACAGAGGATATTAGTGATGGAATACTTCCTTCTTGCTGCATTGGGTATGAAAATATACTTCTCAATTGGCATATCAACACAAAAGTAAAAAACAAATTAAACTCAGATGCAATTTCGAGTCAAAATGACTACGCGATATACCTGAAATAACGCCATCGGTCGTGTGCGCCTCATTCGCGAAGATTTTTGGAGTTCAAAAAAAGGGTTGTTACATGAATGCGCAGAGTGAAAGTTCGTTTTAGCATTATCATTTCAGGTTGGAGAAGCAATGGAATCTCGTGCGGTCATTGAATTGTAGCTAGGGCAGCGATGACCTTGTCACTGAGTATATGAGCCAACAGGAAATGCCAATTAGATATTCCATCCTCTACTGATGGAAGTCCTTAGTAAGAGTCAATTGGGCTGTGAAGCTTTTCTGCTCCTTATAAATATGTGCTGCAGGGACAGGGAGAGAGCAAACCAGCTCATATTTGAACAATAATATATGCATGATCGAGTCATATTGCGTTTTACTTACAAATGTATACACTACTTCCTACTAGGTACTACTAAATGGCCAAAGTAAATGCATCTACATAAAAGCTTCAATGAGATCCGCAGTTTCTGCTTCTTAAGGCTGATGTTACCTGAACATAAGTCAGTGTAAATCTCCACATTAACCGTTGTCCCATAAGGCATTAAGTGCGTTAGAATCATTCCTTTGCAAACAAAGATGATAATAATCAATTTGCCTGGCGATCTCGAGGAATAATTTATTGGGCTGTGATAATGAATGATATTTCCATACAGAAAATTGCTTTTACGTTTTCGTTTGTCACGGTTTTAGAACATGACAATCAATATTAGACCACTCTCACCTTCACTTGATTTCTCCTTCTTGGTTAGGTGATTCGGTAAACTGCGTATTATATAAGTGGATGCTTCCTGCCTATACACGATATAGAAACTGTATTATGCATGGGTAGTGGTTATTCCAGAACAGGCTTCGGCCTGTTGATGGGAACGTCTGAGTAGAGAGATAAAGTATATGGTACGAAATGATGAAGGAAATAATTCAATATTGGCAGAATATTGGTCCAGTTCAGGGCCAGTGAAGCCTATGCCTTTTCGGGTAGCAATGCCAATTTAGGTCCACATTAGGTGCCAGTGAAGCAACGTTTTCCATCAACATAGCAGCAACACAATTCCTGAAACGTTTCTGCAACGTATATGTAATGAATAAGTAACGATTTGCAACGTCAATTAAATGTTCCTTCGCAACATTTGACCAAGGTTGACGTTTTGGACATTTAGACATAGGTGCCACATTGTTCATCAACATTTCCTAAAAGTTGCTGGAATATCTCGTGTTACTTGGGACGGATGGAAAGCCATCAGTACCCATAGGCCATAAATAGTGGAATACAATGCGCATGCGCGTACGACCCAGTGTTTTAGGGGCAGCGCCGTGTCAGCAACCATAGTTGTCAGTTCCCCTCCAATCTTTGTGGCGAATGGACCCAACTTACCACAGTCCTCCATCCTCCCATCGCCGTTTAATGGGCACTGTTTGTCTGTGCTTACCAAATATCATATAAATGAGAAATGAGATTTTTTATTTTCGAAGACTTAAAAGAGATGGCACATGTTTCAATTAGGTGACAAAATGAGGGTTTCCTTAACTGAAAGGAGGCCCATTACTGGACTGGGCTTGCGCAACTTGTTTATATTTTTAAGAACTTCGTCCTTTTTCGTGAATGAAATGAATAGACCTTGTGTTTCGTTTTCCACTCTCGTGTCTCATGTTTCATATAATTGTTATACTTCCCTACCATTTGATGACTGACGTCGAGAACTCAGCTTTATTATTAATGTATATTTTTATTTGCATTGCAGGTGCCGACATGGGATGAGGTAGGGAAAAGATTAGGAGAAGAGGCGGTGAAAAAAGAAGGCATTCTTATCCAGGATATGGGCAAAATCATCTGCCTCTCTGAAGAGACATGGGCAGCTCTAAACAGAGTTTTGCCTTTACCGAAGGACTCTTCCCCCTTCTTCGACTGGGGATATGCTTGGGATGGTAAGTAATCGGGAAGAAAGGGCCACAATGTGCTCTACTAGTGGGCTGACGTTGGACCTAAATTTCACCTATTGAGATCCTATTTGTCCATCGTATTTACTCCCACTATTCCCTTTGACTTCTCTCATGATCATTCATGTTTTTAAACGTAACCTTGGGGGTTACCCTTTTTATTTTCTTTTCATTCTGGGTGTGGTTTTTGTGAGTGCTGAAACGGGATGTACAGGGAAATGTTTCGGGAATCTAATCCGGGTATTCATGACCATTTACATTGGTATCGCCAGTTATGCAAAGGCAAATGCCTCAGGAGCAAAAGAAAGTGTGAGAATAAGGAGCCAATTTACATCTGATCCTATTTAAATATAGCATACAAGCATCATATTCCCGGAATGTCAGTGAGATTAAACGAGAGAGAACATGTCTTTCATCAAGAACGACAATGAATGAACTGCGCATCTTAGGCGTCTTTAGGTGATGTACTTAAATGCTCTTTCAGAATGAAACAATTTTCACTATTTACGGCCTTAATACTGCAAGAAGCCAAAGCTAAAGAAAGGTCTTGCACGAAACAAACGGGGTAGAGATAGATATTTCGTGAAAGGAATGCCGAGAATGGCGGATCTGCCTTATCGCTATTTTTGTCTTCCAGAGAACCTATCAATGTTCAACTAATGATGTTCTCTTGGAAGATACTCTTTTCCACGTTTCGTAGGCGTATGTCGAAATGGGGATGCCAGTTGAATAGTAGAATACTACACATCTTGTAAAAGTACACTGTCGATGTTGACTAATATGGAAAATCTGGGATAACGAAGTCAAGATATCCGGCAACACTGGAGGACGGGACTGGAGCCATCTCGCTAAGCGATTCTGTGTTGAGAGAGGAAGAAGTATGCCAATTTTCGTTCCTGTTGATGCTCTCAGAGAGGAATACGGTTGAATTATGTCGCCGGAGGGGTTGAAGAAAGGTTATGGGCGCTACCAAAGCCCATTGATTAGCGTCAGTCACTCAGTCACGATCGTCTACAGGGTGTCCCAGAAACCCCGCCACAAGTTTTATATAGTATTATGTCTTTATTTCTTTCCTGATGGAATGAGTTTTCTATCACTCGAAAGTCTAGACCTTTCTTAACAAATGCTGTTAAACCAGACGGTTTGTGATTACTGGTTTTGGTTATTTTTTAATGAGAAGGTGTATGCTACGCAACCAATAACATCTCTCACCTCATCAGCGCCTTTCACTTAGTCCTTGCCTCCGCCCAAACTTGGGGTGCGGTTTCTGGGATGCATGGATTAAAAGCAGGATTAAAGCAGGATTAAAGCAGGATTAAAGCAGGAATTTAATCTTTTTGCTACTGAAATTGGTTTCCATTCTGATCATGGCACATACGACTTCGCCGGGGAAAGTCATCCATTGCTTTCTGGAACAAGCTCAAACATGGCAGATTTCTCTCATGATTCTCTCATGGGAATTAATAGTAGATTTAACATTGAAGTGGACGGGAAAAACACGAAACTACCCTTCTTGTTTGCTAACCCCATTAAACTTGGATTCATTGCGAGCTCAGTAGGTACCTGTTTCAAAGGACGTTCCCTTCTAATGAACGGCATCCTGGACAGGCTCTGTGACAGGATCAAGCAAAAATGCAAAACCTGCCCCTGTCTCTGGATCGTTAATAATGAAAGGGGTCTCCTTGCAATTGACGCTCTTAACGACCTCAAAGAAGCCTCCACCGTTATGTCATGGGATTTCTCGACGCTTTGTACTAAAATTCCTCTGGATTCATATATTTATTGAACTTTTCGAAACTTATGTAGGAACAGGGTTTACTTTCAAATACATATTGTGAATAAGGATTTCTTATCTGACCTGCTCAAGAAATGTCTGGAGAATAATTATTTCCAAATAGGGAACAATATTTTTAGGCAGAAGATTGGAAATCCCATGGGAAGCAACTACTCAACCAACATGGCAAATCTCTTCCTATTTTATTATGAAGCTAGGCATATGAACGAGACGTCCATTCCAGATTATTACCGTTTCACCTACAGGTACATTGATGATATCGTAGCAAATAACAATTCAAGAATACGGGCCGAAATAGACTGCATTTACCCAGACTGCATGGAATTGGAAGAAATGGTCTCGTCCCCGTTCAAATCCGCCCATCACTTAGACCTAAATATCGCAGTTCAGAAAAGTGCTTAATTACCTGAATCTATGATAAAAGAAGATATTTCGATGTTGAATTCCTGAGTCTGCCTAATGCAAGTAGTAATATCCCTAGGAATATTATTAACAACGTCGTCGCCTCTTAGTTAAAAAGATACGCCGATATTTACTCTGAAGCAGACAGTTTCCTCTTTAAGAGTTTGCTCTTACACCAGAGGCTTCTTGATAATGGTTATGAAGAAGATTTTCTTAAAAGACTATTTACTTTTGGAAAAGATTCATGGATATTCCCGAAACTCGACCTGTAAACAGCCCTTGCAGCACAGGAGTGACTGCAACACAGACCCGGTGCAGGAATACTATACTGGTGATTGGGCTCTTTCCCATAGCTATTGATTCCACCCGAAGAATTAACTCATCCATGTTGTCAGGGTTGGGTTAGGAGGCTTTAGCTCAATCTGCCTTAAGGCAAAGGCCTAGTTTAGCAGAGGCAATCTGGGCATCGCTCCATTCTGTCAGCACAGAACACTGTTGACTGAATTCATGGTAATCTCCTTCCTCTTTCATTGTAGGCCTGCGTTTCCCAGGCTAACCTCCTCTCTTTCTTTTTACAGCATAGGCCTGAGTCATTCCAAACCATGCTGGGTTGCTTCCCTTAGGGATCAGTCTCGTCATGGATTTTGGTCTAGGCTGGTCAAGCCAATTGATAGCTAACAGTGATGCTGACAGACGGACTTAAGTCGGGTGTGCCTCTGAAAATCCGGGTACTACCTTTTACTCATTTAAGTTCATAGCTTCAGCGCCTGACGGCAAAAACAGTCTGGATAGGGTGTCGTGTTAAGCATGCAGCCTCAACCCCCTGAAGACACAGGCAGCATGACAATTTTTTGGGATTTCTTCTCGCTGTCCGTCCTCTTTTAGCTTCCTTCAGCCTCGCCCCATGCTGCAAGAGGCACGGCGTTAACCTTGAGATTGTAACGCCAATGGGTTGCTAAAATTCTACTGAGCGATAAACATCTTATGCGGAAAGTGCCAAGACATCTAATTGGAAACCTTCCTCAGCATGAATTGGAACTCGTGTCATTCCACTGATAGACTCTTCTATTTCAGAATGGGCAGGGGAAGCGCCTACGGTTAAGAAAAGGAAGGGGGGAATAATCGAGTTCCTGGGAAAGAGTGGTGTGCAGTGGGAGCCAAAGAATTGGCCCCCAGTGGCTA